CTGAACAGCCAGCTGCTTAATCACCGGAGCGTCTGACGCATGAGTGCAACTGCTCTCACCATGCAGCTGCTCGCATGCTCCTGATCTTGCACCACATGCAATACCTGATTTCCGGAAAGCAGAATGTTTTCATGTTTTCGGAGGTTTACATATGTAGGAAATCCAGTCACGCCTACGCATCTATGAGCAAGATATAGGGGGTCGAGATGGCATCATGGGCAAGATCCTAACTTAGCATATCGAAATGCATGGATTGAGCTATGTTCAGAGTTCGGTCCTGATCCATCCCGCTCATAACGACCCAAGGCCGTTTCAAGGGACATATCAAACGTACCTTAAAATAATGGTCATTTGAAAAGCACCACGTCAGCTTTTTTTAAGGGTCAAGCCGTCCACAAGGTAAGGAGACCGGGCGGTACGATTTCAGACGAGGGGTCAAAGACCCGTGCGTGTACCGTTGCCTAACAGGGCCCCTGCCTGGAGGCCGAGGGTGTTTCCGTGGAAGTCTCCCGGGATGCATCTTGACCGCCGTGGCGGACCCCAAGCACGCGGAAAACATCATCAAGGCCTTGGGCCTGAAGCCCGGAGACAAGTAAGTCCCCGGTGCCCTCGAGGAAGCCAGACCTCAATGACATCACTCCCTTGGACGCGGGAGACGCAGCAGTCGGCTCCCGGGATTTATCTCTCTGCCGATCGCCGCGATATCCACAGTATGCCGGTCCCGGTGAGCTCGGCACATGGCTGCGCCAAAGGCGCTGTGACATGAATCAAGCCATGATGCTGGGGCGGTACTTGCAGCAGCAACCGTCCTTGGTGAGGGTCACGACACTAGACCCCTGAGGCGCGCGATGGCACCGTGCAGCTGGACGTATTCTGCGACAGCGATTGGGGAGGATGCGTCGAGAACCGATTGCCATGTTGTGGTTCTTGGGGGAGCTGTGGTGATCACTTCGACATGCACAGACGCAGCCAGGGCTCCCGGCGACTAGCAGCCCTGACGCCGAACTTGGAGGAATCAGCGGGGCGTGCCGGGAGGCGATCTTCGTGCATGATCTAGCAACGCTAGATTTCGGGCTTGAGGTGGGCATCCCGAGAATCTGGTCGGATAGTTCGACTGGCATAACGGCGGCGAAACGCAGCAAGCTCAGACACCTCGACGCCTCAGAGTCCTACGTCCAGGGTGCTGTGCAAGCGGGGAAAGCTTTGTTAAGGAAGGTGAAGGGGACTGAGAACCCAGCCAACTACCTCACAAAGCATCCATGACTGGCAACGAGGTTGCGCAGGCTTTACCATCCCTGGCCATGATGGATGTGAACATGGTCGCAGGAGGCACCGCCTCAGAGAGGCACTCGGTATAGCTTGTGCGGGAAAACGCGCCCAGTCAGTGGAAGCCCGTCTTCCTTTTTCGTTGCCAATCGCCAGCACGACAGTGGCACACCAGAACCTCGGAGTGAGGGCACCATGCTGTTAGAGGAATCGGAGCACACGAGCGAGCCCGCCTCTGCGAGGAGAATTTACAGAAGAAGCGGCCACGCCACCTGTCGCTGTCCGCCGCGAGACCTCCGACCACCAGCTCCCGAGCCCCAGCCTCACAACGGGAAAGCGGGCGCCGCCGCCGCAGCACCCGCTGCAGAGGAAGTGGTGGCACCCACCGCAGAATTTCAATGTGGGAATCCTCCGAGCCAGGCGCCGCAGGCTCCAACCCGGAGCGCGCCTACCTCCGGTGCCGCAGCACAACTTCGGAGAGATGTACTACGCCCCGACGCGACGCACAGTACACCTTTTTAGGAACTGTGCGGGGCTGACCTCTGTGCGGCCAAGGGACATCATCACGGAAAACCTTTGCCTCAATTGCTGGGGTGGCCTCATCATAGGGACGAGGCACGAGGACCGAACCCACTTTCTCTCGTGGTGGGTGACGACTACACACCGCACATCTTTCCCACGTGTGTGGAGATCCGTGGGTGGGCCGGCGGCTTCCAATCTGCCAACACTGCCGTCAGCATCACGCGTGATGACTGAGCAGTAAGCCTCGCCCGTGCGGGGACCTCCGCCAAACTCTCGGCATTGGAGGGGGGTGCGAGTTATCCCGATGGATCCCTCAGTACTCAACACCCGAGGGCTTGAGCTAGGCTACCCTTGTAGAGTGTAACGCTTTTGTACAGTCAAACCACTGCACACCACAGCCGCCACCCATCGGCTCGTTTGTGGCGCCTGCCGGTGCCATCGCCACCCGCACGGCTCGACCTTGTGCCTTCGTTCACTGGCGCTTCGGTTGCACGGGCTCGGCGCCAATGGAACCGGGTGATGCCGAACAGCTCTCCATTGCTGTGGTCATGCCGGTAGCTGGAACTGGGAGGGGAGCGATATCACCTGGGTCGATGTGTTGGTTGGGGGCGGGCCGTGCCGCTTCTGTGGACGAGCAGTTGATGCTAAACGCCGCTGTTGTGCAACGTCGCTCTGACGATTTGGTGCGCATGGCCGTTGGCTGACGGTCCAGGCAAGCAGGTGGCAGCTGCCCCTCTGGCTTGGAATCTTGGGTATTACACATCGCTATCGTGAACGCCCTGGGCTTGGTGCAGCCACTGAGTACACGAAGCGCACATGCGGCTGACAGCATCTGACAGCGGACTGCTGCAACATGCCCGGCTGCAATCAGCCCTGGGTCTGGGTGTGCCAGGGCGGCAGCACCGCCGAGATTCGAGCCCTTCTTCACCGATTGGCTGGGGCTGTCGCTGTCGTTGCGGGCAAGTTCGCGGTGATGACGGCCCGGTTGCTGGAGCAACCAGCGGTAGGCCGTCCGCCAGCGCAGATCTCACACGGCCACAACTGGCGCGGGCAACTCTGTTGGCTGGATGGATGGAGGGATGGGTGCGTGGGTGGATGCATGGATGGATGGATGGATGGATGGATGGATGGATCCTGTTTGGTGTTATACCTCCTTGCCTTGCTGATCTAAGCTTATTCGGGACATGTGTTCTTTATAGTTCTTTACGGAGGCCCACCCCCTCTTTGGGGCTCACTTCAAGCCGGGTGGCTTAGAGTCTGAGAGGGATCATGATTACCTCCCCCGAGCGGCTGTGCATCCTGTGGCTGAGGAGTGCCGAGCAGATGGCAGCACTGGAGGCCAAGAAGGCAGCCTGCTTCGCTGGGTGCCAGCTCTGTGCCAACAGACGCTGGAGCTGCAAAGGTACACACCACGTTTGATTCGGATGAAGACTGACTGTGAACAGCTGCCCAGCTCTGTGAAGCTCTTGCGCGATAAGCCTGTTCTGCTGCGGTCATCGGCGTAACGCCGTAATGGTGTGTAGCGTTCTGCCGTTCTGCTTTTCTTTCTCTCGGCTATCGCCGAAGGCGAGGTCTGGTGGAGAGAGCGAATGACCCGGCGCAAGCAAAGCAGTAAGTCGCATGCAAAACAGCAAACCGTAACAACGGAACGGCACAAGTTCGATTGGCATGAAAGCTCGTTGACAGCGACTGTTTTTCGCCCTTAGCCCTTCCCTTCCCTTGCCGTCACAGCACGGCCCAGGGCCCAAAAAGGGCGCCATGAGGATTGCCATGTTCTCCTGGGAGTCCTTGCACAGTATCTCTGTAGGAGGCGTCGCCCCACACGTCACCGAGCTGGCGGCGGCGTTGCAGCGCCGCGGCCACGAGGTCCACATCTTCACGCGCAGGGCGGAGGGCCAGCAGCTGCACGAGGAGCCGAAACACGATTCTCATGCTAAAGCCGTCCTCTCCTTCTGCGGCGCTTACCTCCTTGAATCAGGAGATCTACGGCGTCATGCGCCCCCCCCCCCCATGTGCAGACTGCAGCTCTCTCTCTCTCTCTCTCTCTCTCCGTCTCTCTGTCTGTGTAGCGAGTGGAGTGGTTTGGCGTGGTTTGGCGTTAAGCGCAGGTACCACCGCGTGAACAGCCCTCCATGTGACGACTTCGTGGATCAGATGGAGAAGATGTGCAACTCCATGGCCTGGTGCTTCGGCGAGACTGCGGCGTTGATTGGGGATTTCGATATTGCGCATGCCCACGACTGGATGGCTTGCAAAGCCATGGTGCAGTGCAAGAACACCCATGGCACCAGGTGCATCTTTACATTCCATAGCACGGAGCAAGGAAGGTCGGGGGGGCCTGGGGGAGGCTCTGCTCGGGTGACGGAATGGGAGGGGGAGGCCAGCTTCGTTGCGGACCGGGTGATCTGCGTGAGCGAAAGGCTGAAGGCGGAGGTGGTGGAGCTTTTCCAGCTTCCGGAATCCAAGGTTTGGGCGATCAATAATGGGATTCAGTGCTCGCGCTTCGATGGGATGTTGGAGGACCCTGCCTCCGTGAAAGGCTGCTATGACATCGGTCCTCTGGATCCCGTGGTGCTTTTCGTGGGGAGGATGGTGGGGGGCATGAAAGGCGGGGACCTTCTCATCGAGGCGGTGCCCCAAATCTTGCAGAGCCACGGAGGAGCCAAGGTGGTCTTCGTGGGAGACGGGGACAATAAGATGCATTGCGACCACCGCGCGAAGGAAATGAACGTAGAGGGCTCCGTTAGACTCCTTGGAGCACGTTCAGGGGAGGAGCTGGTGAACTTGTTCAAGATTGCTGATGTGGTCGTCGTTCCCTCGCGCTATGAACCCTTTGGTTTGACGGTTTGTGAGGCCTGGGCCGCTGGGAAGGTGGTCGTTGCCTCGGATCAGGTGGGCTGTCCAGTGGCCAACGGCGAAGACGGCTGGGTGGTCTCAGCCAGCTCGGAGGGCATCGCCTGGGGTGTGTCAGAGGTCTTCAAGGATTTCGATCGCGCCAGAGAGATGGGGAGCAAAGGAAGAGTCAAGGCGGCTTTCTCCCTATCTTGGGACACCTGCGCGGAGATGACGGAAAGGGCGTACAGTGAATTCTAGTGCCAATGCCTTTCGGGCAGCGAAGCACAGCGAAGCTGCTCCAATGTTTCATCCCGTTAATGTATATAAGTACAGGTAATCAGCAGCCAGGTAGGCACAGGTATGCGTCGCATTGCAATATGACGGTGCGGGCCAGTGGCCAGTGCATTGTGTGGATCTCTGCAGCTGCTGCAGTTCGCAGGTGCCAAGGGCCTTTCAAGGTGCCGCAAGCTGTTGGCTGTTGGGTCTCACATGACATCAAGATCCAGGTTTCTGTCACTGAGCACCAAGAGAGCCAGGACGCCTTCAGGGCATGGCGTGCAGCCTGCGTGCAGCAGTGCAGCATGGAGGGAAGTCTTTTTTCCGGCAGCCGCTCGGTTCAAGCCGGTGCGGGCGCCGCCATGATGAGCCTGTCCAAGCACGGTTCGATAATCGTGCAGAAGCAGGAGCCCTCATTGACGCAGCTGCGGCGTCGCGGGTTCTGCGTTCTGCGTTCGCGTGGACGTTCTTCGCAGGCTCATGTGGCGCCCTTTCCCTGGAGAAACCGAGTGCTGCGGTCTGGAAGGTGCGCACGCGTAGCCATGCGTAGCAGAATCTGCGAACCTTTGGCAGGTCCCAGAGAATGCGAGAGAGAGAGGGGTCTCACAACCAGCAAACTTGGACCAGTGCGCGCGTGCGCGCGGGGGAGGGGGGCGACTCCTCCTTGGCTGCGAGCAAGCAAGGGAGAGAGGGAGATGAGGGAGAACTGCAACATTGAAGCCCCTTCCAACGGCCAATATAGTGCAGAACTTGCGGGGAAGTCAATCAACCACTCCCACGAAGCCCCCTAAGAAATGGGAGGGCCATGCATGCGCCATGCGCCCGCGGGGCCCTGCCGAAGAGAGAAGCGAAGAGAGGGAGAGGGAGGCCCTTAAGGCGGCGGTGGCATCATGCTTGCAAGGGCACGGTCCTCCAAAGGGCCCGCCGCGGGGGCAAACAGGCAGGCCGCCGCCTTCCAGGCCCGCGGGGGGTGCGGGGGGGGGGGCCTCCGTTTGCATGAGCCAGAGATAGCCAGAGGTTTTCCCGGCCAGGCTGGAGTCTCGCTCGCTTCCTTGTTGGCCGCCACGGTTTCGACCCATCAAAGGAAGCCCGGGGCCCGGCTCGTCGTGTCACAGCAAAAATTGGAGCCGCAACCGTAGCGCCGTCCTAGGCGATGGTCAAGGTCCGCGCTCTGAGAAGAGGCCAATTGAGCAGAGAAGCCAAGAGCTTTCGCTTTTCAGGCTGGGGCGACCGGCACTTGCGAATGCCGTGGAGAGCTATGCAGAGAACCACGGCTTCTTGATGCCTGCGCCCTTGAAGGAGGTCGCGAGGTCGCGGCGTCACGGGCCCTGCACGCCGTGTCAGGTTGAAGCCGCACGCGAACACGGCAGCCGCCCCAGCACTTGCGGATGTAAGGTCGGTAAGGTCCTGTGACGGCCGTGGCTCCAGGCCGCCTCCCGCACCTGCTTGAAGCAGCTGCTGTCGCAGAAGCACATTCAGGTTATCGAGGACTTTCGTGTCTCGAGTGCAACACTGCAACTTGGGATTGCGATATCTTGCGATTCTGAGGAGGGCGAGATCACTGCGACTGAGATCCGGGAGAGGCGCGGAGATGGTAGCTCAGGAGACGTGCCGCTGTGCTGCCGTGCTGCCACGCTGAGGGGACTCATCGACATCCACTATGGGAGCGTGGCGGAGAAAGCCCTGCAGCAGCAGCCCTCTAACATGCATGTGCCGACAGAGGCGGAGAAGGAGTTCGAGGACTAAGCACAGAGAAGCTGGTGACAGAAGCAGCGCAGCAGCACGAGGGACCCTGATGCAGGAATGCTTCGGCATGTCCTGGGTCGATGCCTTGAAGCAGGTGCAGCTTTACATGACATGTTTTTGAGTTCGTGCGATTTGTCCAGTGCAGGACAGAGTGTGCAACGCCGTTGAGGCACAGAGCAGGCGTGGTTCCGCCCGGGGGTGCCCCTTCATGCCCCTTCCAGCCCTTGCTTTTGCCCAGGCTGGGATGGACTTCCCAGGAACTGGGCACGCATTGGGACACGCTGAAGATGGGCCAGCCGCTGCAATATCGCATGTGTCCCATGCCACGCCCGCGGCGGGGGCACATGTAGAAGTACCTCTGGCGGCAGGTGAAGGCAAGGTGAAGTTTGGCGGCGGCTTCTACTGTGGGCGGCTGCAAGACATCTTTGCTGCGGTCCCACTTCTGCTTTGATAGGCATACTCGGGAGCAGCAGATATCGGAAGGTCATCAACGGTTTCTACATGGCCATGCGCGGCCAATACCTGATACCTGGAAGGCTCGGTCCCGGCCTCCCGGGTCCTGCATGGTCCCGTTTTGCCCTGTGCTTCGCGATGCACCGCTTCGTTCAATGCCAGTTCGGTGTGGTGGTTCAAAGTGAAGTGGCAAGCCGCCGACATGTCCTGGAAAATGTCCAGGGCTCAGTCGGGTGGTACTGGCAGGGCTCTTTCTTATTATTGATATTTCTTTGGTTTTGACTCTCTCTTTGCCGCCATGGTAACGGAGGAAGAGAGGCTTGTTTGCTTTTGGAGGACTTGCAAGCTGGTCCTTCTGGGCTGAGGTTTCGTGAAGAGGTGGTGGGCAGCACCGATCCTGCAACTGCTGCTGAGAAATCCCTCCGTGGCATCTTTCACAAGAGCTGGGCAGAGCCGTGGACACAGCGAGACTTGGCGGCACAGGCCCGAGGCGTGCTGCCATCACTCAGGCTTGGCCTACCGAGCCAACCTCACGTGGGCGAGAACGCTGTCCACGGCTCTGCGAGCCCCTTCGAGGCTCCCCTTGTCTCCTCCCTCCTCTTTCGTCTCTCCTTCTCTCCGCTTCGCTCCGCTCCGCTCCTTGGGCCGTCCTTCGAGGCTTTGGCGGAGAAACGGAACTGGCTCCAAGCGGACTACGCGAGCGATCCCTTTGGCTCCCTGCTGCTCGAACGAGGCCGGGGTGCCACACGCCCTTCCCGCCGCGAAGCTTCGCGCGCCCGCCCAGGTGTGACTGCAGACTGTATCGGGAGATGGCAGAGAAACCCGGTGGCCGCAAGCCCATCTGCTTGGGAGAGTGCCGCCGCATGGTGCCGGCTTGCGAGGTGAACCTCGATGGGAGGCCCGAGCCGCCTGGAGGGAAGGTGGCCCAGGGCCTAGAATCGAATCCAACCTGGAGGTCGCAGGCGGTCTTCGACCTCTTCGAGAACATGGCCTTGTCCCCAGCGCGCGGTGCTGGGGAGGTGCGAAACTTCGGGTTCGCCGGCCCGTTCGCATTGGAAGGATGCCGAATGCTGCTTAGAAAATGCGGGCAAGCTCAGGGCAAATGAGCAGCTGCAGGAGCTCGATATGCAACTTGCGGGGGGTGCGTAGACAGTTCATTACACTGATGCAGCACTGGATTCTGGTGCAGGAGAACCACGGCTTCTTGATGCCTGCGCCCTTGAAGGAGGTCGCGAGGTCGCGGCGTCACGGGCCCTGCACGCCGTGTCAGGTTGAAGCCGCACGCGAACACGGCAGCCGCCCCAGCACTTGCGGATGTAAGGTCGGTAAGGTCCTGTGACGGCCGTGGCTCCAGGCCGCCTCCCGCACCTGCTTGAAGCAGCTGCTGTCGCAGAAGCACATTCAGGTTATCGAGGACTTTCGTGTCTCGAGTGCAACACTGCAACTTGGGATTGCGATATCTTGCGATTCTGAGGAGGGCGAGATCACTGCGACTGAGATCCGGGAGAGGCGCGGAGATGGTAGCTCAGGAGACGTGCCGCTGTGCTGCCGTGCTGCCACGCTGAGGGGACTCATCGACATCCACTATGGGAGCGTGGCGGAGAAAGCCCTGCAGCAGCAGCCCTCTAACATGCATGTGCCGACAGAGGCGGAGAAGGAGTTCGAGGACTAAGCACAGAGAAGCCGGTGACAGAAGCAGCGCAGCAGCACGAGGGACCCTGATGCAGGAATGCTTCGGCATGTCCTGGGTCGATGCCTTGAAGCAGGTGCAGCTTTACATGACATGTTTTTGAGTTCGTGCGATTTGTCCAGTGCAGGACAGAGTGTGCAACGCCGTTGAGGCACAGAGCAGGCGTGGTTCCGCCCGGGGGTGCCCCTTCATGCCCCTTCCAGCCCTTGCTTTTGCCCAGGCTGGGATGGACTTCCCAGGAACTGGGCACGCATTGGGACACGCTGAAGATGGGCCAGCCGCTGCAATATCGCATGTGTCACATGCCACGCCCGCGGCGGGGGCACATGTAGAAGTACCTCTGGCGGCAGGTGAAGGCAAGGTGAAGTTTGGCGGCGGCTTCTACTGTGGGCGGCTGCAAGACATCTTTGCTGCGGTCCCACTTCTGCTTTGATAGGCATACTCGGGAGCAGCAGATATCGGAAGGTCATCAACGGTTTCTACATGGCCATGCGCGGCCAATACCTGATACCTGGAAGGCTCGGTCCCGGCCTCCCGGGTCCTGCATGGTCCCGTTTTGCCCTGTGCTTCGCGATGCACCGCTTCGTTCAATGCCAGTTCGGTGTGGTGGTTCAAAGTGAAGTGGCAAGCCGCCGACATGTCCTGGAAAATGTCCAGGGCTCAGTCGGGTGGTACTGGCAGGGCTCTTTCTTATTGATATTTCTTTGGTTTTGACTCTCTCTTTGCCGCCATGGTAACGGAGGAAGAGAGGCTTGTTTGCTTTTGGAGGACTTGCAAGCTGGTCCTTCTGGGCTGAGGTTTCGTGAAGAGGTGGTGGGCAGCACCGATCCTGCAACTGCTGCTGAGAAATCCCTCCGTGGCATCTTTCACAAGAGCTGGGCAGAGCCGTGGACACAGCGAGACTTGGCGGCACAGGCCCGAGGCGTGCTGCCATCACTCAGGCTTGGCCTACCGAGCCAACCTCACGTGGGCGAGAACGCTGTCCACGGCTCTGCGAGCCCCTTCGAGGCTCCCCTTGTCTCCTCCCTCCTCTTTCGTCTCTCCTTCTCTCCGCTTCGCTCCGCTCCGCTCCTTGGGCCGTCCTTCGAGGCTTTGGCGGAGAAACGGAACTGGCTCCAAGCGGACTACGCGAGCGATCCCTTTGGCTCCCTGCTGCTCGAACGAGGCCGGGGTGCCACACGCCCTTCCCGCCGCGAAGCTTCGCGCGCCCGCCCAGGTGTGACTGCAGACTGTATCGGGAGATGGCAGAGAAACCCGGTGGCCGCAAGCCCATCTGCTTGGGAGAGTGCCGCCGCATGGTGCCGGCTTGCGAGGTGAACCTCGATGGGAGGCCCGAGCCGCCTGGAGGGAAGGTGGCCAGGGCCTAGAATCGAATCCAACCTGGAGGTCGCAGGCGGTCTTCGACCTCTTCGAGAACATGGCCTTGTCCCCAGCGCCAGCACCACGCTCCTTTCTGCGATTGGGTCCTAAAGTTTTAAGGATGCCACGGGCTGCCTTCAGAAAGCCAAGAAGCTCTGCAAGGCGAAGGAGTTCAGACAGGAAAATGACCAAGCACCGGTATGGACGATGCCGCCGTTTACTACTGAGACGATGATGCGCTGGCAAATGAGTTTGTCTAAAATTCATGCACGCTGATCGCGGCACCTTTGCAGGCCTTGCGTGCTGTCTTAATTCGGCGGAGTTGTACAGACCTGTGCCAATGCAAAGCTGGCAGAAGAGATCCACCAGGCTGGCCAAAGGCGCAAAATGGCACAGAGTGTCAGAGTTGAAAACACGGCCGGACAAGTCCTTAAAGGTCTGGTCGAAGTGCAGATTTTCACAGGAAAGCTCCGCAACGTCGGATTTGCATCGACTCCAGCTACGTGAGGTATGACTTGAGTCAAAGGGCACCCCAACGGGCAAGACACGCAGACGTAGAAGCTACAGTGCTTGCGCCCGAAGGAGGGGTCCCCTAGAGCCTAGAATGTGGTGTGGGGAAAGCACCCCGTTCTCGAAGGCACCCTGAAGCCCCAAGCTGAAGGAGTGTCTGAAGTTATTCCAAGTAATGGAAGGTTTGCGCTAGCGAGATTTTCCACTAGCCTGGGCTTGAGCCCCCAAACCTTCTCACTTCCGCGAGCCCTTGGCACGCACTATCGAGACAGCCTTTGAATCTGCGTGAGGCGCAAAGGACCTTGAGCAACTGCCTGCTTTCTGCCGTTGTGTCCCTGAACTTTCTTGCGGCAGCACCCAGATGGGGTAGAGGGGGCAGAGGGGCAAAGGGCCCCAAGGGGCCAAGGGGGCCAAGCCAGACTTGATGGGATGTTCGGTGAGCTATGGGCCTGCCGGCGCCTCTGACGTGACAGAAGCCAGAAACCGCAAGTCGCACCTCATCTCCAACGCTCCTCGCCTGCTCGCAGGAAGAAATCACCATCGGCGCCGTGACCCAGAAGCGGAAGGACGGAACACAGCGAAAAGGCTTTGGGGTGCGAGGGGGCGTGGCCGAGGGCAAGGACAGCAAGAAGGCGGAGCTGGCCAACAAGGACTACCAGGACCGCGAGCCGTAGAGGCCGTAGAGGCTCTGGGACTCTCTGGGACTCTTCTGGGTTCTCTCCTTTTGGAGAGGACCGGATCGAGTTCTTGCTCACGGTGCCGCTCTTCCAGCGCCTCCCAAAGGTGCCGCCGGAGGGGGGGGGGGCGTGTGACCCGCAACGCCGCGAGACGTGTGTTGCTCCTTTCTCTTCTCTGGGGAGGATGAGCACCCGGTGGTCGCCTCCATGTGCGAGGGCTGCAAGTTCAAGCGCAACGACCAAATCATCAAGCCCGGCACCCGTCCCGATCCGGATCCGGAGCCGCAGAATCCTTGCTTCCAAGGCAAGGTGCACGGGGCGAGGAGTTCGGGTCTCGACGTGTGTGAATCGTGGCGAAAACAAGCATTATCCGACGCAGCTAACTCTTCCCTGCCATTCCTCTCCCTCGTCACAGAATTCCGCGAAAGGTTCTTCGTGATTCGCAGGGGGCAAGCGGAGGTCTTCGCAGAGACCTCTGGCTTAATGTGTGAAGAATTCTGCAAACGCGCCGTCTGGCGAAGGTCAAGAAGACCAACGGCCAAAAAGAGAAGATTGCCACGTTGAAGGCGGTTCGGAGCACGGGTGAGCGCGAGCACGGGGCATGAGGACGCTTTGCAGAGCTTGAAGCCGTTGTGGTCTTCTGCGGCTCTTCTCTGCCCTGCGAGGCCGGGGACCACTTTGGCGAGGGTGCTTTGTTGAGGGACGAGCCGCGCGCGGCGACGGTGGTCGCCCTGCTGGCCACTGAGCGGGGACTCGGGGTATCGCGCGCAAACTTCTTGTGACAGTGGTGACTTCACACTCTGCTGAAGGAGCGACATGCACACCTTGAAGATTAAGCGCACGGACTTCCAGGTGGTGACACGTGCATGCGTGCAATTGCGAAATTGCGTGTAGCAGCGACTGCATGACGAGAGGCTCTCGGCTTACACCAGAAGTTGAAGTTTGGCCGCCGTGTGGCAGTGAGCTCCGGGAAGAAGTTCAGCAAAGCGAAGGTTTCGTTCTCGGATGCGAGAGCTGTCTTTGAGACGTCCCGCGGGCAGCCCGGGCAGGACCCGGTGCCGAAAACAGCGGAGGACATGAAACTCATCACGCAGGTCTCAGTCTGAGACTTGCTCAGTGCGGTGGAAAAATCGTCACAGACATGACATGCGGCTCTGCGGCTCTGCGGCTCGTGTGAGGCCATCATGTCGAATGAGAACTTGAGTGTGATCGGAAACCTGGAAGAGAAGATCCCATCCTTGGCAGAAGTGATGTGGAAGGACACTCCGAAGGCCCGGGCGAAAGCGGGGGCCCGATTGTACCGTGATCTGTGTGAGGAGTATGTCAAAGCTGGGCGGCACATCATCACCGAAGGGGATGTCCAGGCTAGGGGGAAGGAGCGGAGAGAGCTGCGAGCCGCGCTGAGGGCTTCGGTGGGGGAGCGAGCAGTAGCTGACCCCATCACCTATTAAAACAACCAGTCTAACCCGCAAAACACACAGCACGCTCCAAAAACGAACTCAATAATCCAAACCAACCCCCCCACCAAATCCCACGCCGAAAGCCCAAATACACTCCGAAACTAAAGCACCTCTCAACACAACACCGCACAAAACAAGATCCGAAAGCACCGCCCTTACCCCAGACCGCACCTCAACCCCGCAATACACAAAATGCCTTTCCTCGCTTTCTTTACTGTTGCTTTCATCCTTTCTGTGATCGGCTGGGTTCTGCGGGTGGATTCGGTGGATTGCTGCTCCCGGCTCTTCTCTCCGCAGGCGGATTTCTTCTACATCGTGCACGAGGGAAAGTGCCCCCTGTCGCCGGAAGAACATGCCGTCATGCAGCATGTCATGCAGCGACGCAGCGTGAGTGAGCGAGTCACGAAAGTCGCCTATTTCGCCTGCCGGCCTCCGAGGTGAGATCGTGATCAAGGCCGCGTCGCCGCACGCTTCTGGAAGCGCAGCGGCACCATAGCGGCTTTCGGTAGGACAAGGACGCCTTCGACGATCGGAAGTTCGGCGGCCAGAAAATTGCGCTTGGCCTCGGTTGGCCTCGGAGCCTCGCTTCCGCGGAGCCGAGCACGGACCGCTCGCAGGTGATGGGCGTTTACCGGCGCGGTCTGGGGCCCAGGCCTTGCGCGCTGTCGGTGCTGGAAGCTTTGCACAAACTCGGCTCGGGCCCCGGCTCTCTCGTCCTCTCGTCCGCAGCCGTGCCTCCCAGCCGCAGCGGTCGCGGAGAGCCATGGAGCAGCCAGGGCAGCCCGCCCATGCGGCCAAGCGTGCCAGAACTGCCTCTGCTTCCGCTCCGTTCTTCCCAAGCATCTCAAAGATTCGCTACGAAGGTCCGGAGAGCCTTAACCCCCTGGCATTCAAGTATTACCAGCCCGATGAGCTCGTCATGGGCAAGAAGATGAGGCAGGCAGGTAGCAGCCATGCTCAAACCTCAGCGAAGGCAAGGTTGTGCACGGTTTCTGTGAAATGGGTTTCGTCGCAGGGACTGGTGCCGCTTTGCAGTCAGCTGGTGGCATACATTCAATGGGCAAATGGGCACGGATCCCTTTAGCAATGTCAAGACGCACGTGAGACCTTGGGATGTGGACAGCTCGCTCGACACTTTCCTCACGCGCGTCGATGTGGCTTTTGAGTTCTTCACCAAGCATCTTGTCTACGCCTGCTTCTCCCGTCGAACAGGATTCATTGGGTTGAAGGATGTCCCTCAGATGTCTGAGTCGCTCGCTCTTTTTTGCAGTCCTGTCAGCGGAAGGTTAGGCGTGGACTACTACTGCTTCCATGATGTGGACGTTGCGCCGCAGGGTGAGAATCTCCAGGAGAGGACAGGGAAAGGTGGAGGAAGACGGCTTTTCTCCGCGAGTCTGCAGGAGTTCCAGGCAAACTTGGACACGATCTCCGAGAAGCCGCCTGTCACAGCAAACCGGAGAGGCTCCGTCGGTCCCTCGGTCCGTCCGTTCGGCTCCGCGAGGCTGCTGCAAAAGCAGAAGGAGACCGGCGTGAAGTTGCTCTGGGTCCGACTCCCGGCTTTCGGCTCTCAGCCGCTTTCTGAAAGCGCAGCCAGAGGCAACGCAGAACCTCTTCTCACACCCGTTGGGAGCCCTGGGCCCGACCAGTGTGCAGCTGCCGTGCAGCTGCCGCTGAGGCGCTACAAGGACGGAGCGGCCCGGAGCTCAGCGGAGCGGAGCGGAGCCGATGTGGAGCAACTAGAACACCTTCTGCACGGAGGCGACGGCGCCCTCCTTCGATGCCTTCGCCTATGGCTGCGCCCGGAGCACAGAGAGAGAGGCTGAGGAGAGCAGGGCGCGCGCGCTTCGCCTCGAGGCGCAGACGAGGAAGATGCTCGAGGTGGGCAAGAAGCTCGGGGGTGAGACCCACGTGTTCTGGGGTGGCCGCGAGGGCTTCGCCACGGCTCTGAACACGAAGGTGAAGAGTGAGCTGGATCACATGGCAAGTTTCCTAAAAATGGCGACAGCATACAAGAAGAAGATCGGCTTTGAGGCACAGTTCTGCATCGAGCCCAAAGCTCGAGAGCCGACGGCCCACCAGTACGATTACGATGCCCAAACGGTCATCGGCTTTTTGTACCAACACGGCTTGGAGAAGGATTTCAAGGTGAACATCGAGCCCAACCACACGACCCTCGCCGGCCACGACTACGCCCGGGCCCCTTTGGCGCGCACGGTGTTTGTCTTCCTTCGCCGTCGCTGAGGAGCACGACCTGCGCATGGCCTCGGCCTTGGGGATGCTGGGCTCCGTGGACTGCGCCGAGCTCGGCCTTAAAGAGCTGAAGCTTTGAGGCGCAGTGTCTCCTGTCTTTGGGTGTCGAGGCAATGCCGGACAGCCCTACCTCGGCTGGGACACGGACGAGTTCCCTTCAGATCCGAGGCGTGGGAATGCGTCTTGCGCACGGCTTCTTCTGCTTACGCGCTTTCTGGCGGGATTCGCGCGCGAAAGGAAGGCGCTGCTCTCGATGCTGATCATCGTGCAGCAGGGCGGCATCGCTCCTGGGGGCAACAACTTCGATTGCAAGCTCCGACGAGAGAGCACCGACATCGAAGACATGTTCATCGCGCACATCGGAGGCCGCTATAGGGAG